CACACACACACACACACACACACACACTTCCTCGCCGAATATAGTACGTATTACTGAATATGGAATAGTATCGTGCAACGAAACCACCTCCCCCACCTACCATAGTACATCTTCCTGAACATTGAATGGTATTGTTCAATGAAACTCTCCGAAAATAGTACTTAAGTACGCATTATTGAATATCGAATGGTATTGTGCAACGAACCCCCATCCCCCTTTTCCCTCGAACGGAACCTTGAGCGTATTACTGATTATTGAATGATATTATGCGTATGTATGTGGTTCGAGGGAAACAGTTGCTCATTCAAATATGATTGATTTTATAGGCCATAATTAGAGGTGGATTAGGGAGAGTGGATCAGGCATACCCGAAAAATAACTACATATGTAATTATAGAATCACAGGTAATAGACATATTGGTAATTATTTTTTATGGTCTGAATTTTTTTTTCGCCTTGCTCTGCTCGGCATAGAAAATTACAAAAAAAAAGACTGACTCATGGGTATAATACATATATTACAAGATAAGTACAACATGTTATGCAATACAATACAGAATAACATATGGACATATGTTAAGAGGAGAGTGACTCTTTACGTACACTTGTTGCCAAATGTAAATATTTTCCAAGATTAAAAATTTCCTTTACATTATTGGTACTTAATAGTTGAGTTAGCTTAAACACACTCGGACTTAAACGATAATATTTCTTTATGTACTTTAACCTTAGATTTTCATAAAATGGACATTTGAGAATAAAATGAAACTCATCTTTTATGTCGCCTAAATTACATCTAGTACACAGTCGATTATGACGGTTTATATTATTCCGCCTCCCGACCTCAATATTTAAACTGTGAGAGGACAGTCTATAGCGAGTAATTTGACGCTTGAATTTTGATTGGATTGGCTTACGCAAATAAAACTGTAAGTCGACATTGTCTATCAGGTGTTGATATAAATACCCCTTTGAAGAATTTGAAATATTTGTTAACATACTTTGTCGTGAAACATCGAGCAATCTTTGTTCTATAATCTTTGCCGCAATATTAATAGGTAAGTTTTCCTCAAAGATATACTCCAAACCCATACTAGCTAATTCTTGCCTAATATTAATTAACCAGTCATCATTACCACTTATACGCTCGTCATAGCAAGCTTTTAATATACAGTTATCGCTACATTTCACTTTTAACCAGTATTTAAAAATCCTCAGTTTCCTTTGGACTATATGGGGGAATCTACCAAGTTCACAATAAACCAGATCATTATTAGTGCATTGTCTGACTCCTAGAATTTTTTTACAAAAATTTAAATGAACTTTATTTACATCAGGTGCTTTGTGAAATCCCCAGATTTCTGAGGCATAGCACAAAATACTGTTTACATAAGAGTCAAAAATAGTACACTGAGTTTCAATATTAAAACAATAATTGCGTAACGAAGATGCTAAGGCGAACAGTGCCTTTCTTCCTTGATCAGCCACATGCTTCTGTGTTTTAAGAAATTTTCCATTATAATGAAAAAGCATACCTAGATATTTGAATTCATCCACGATATCAATGTTTGTATCTTTATAAGACCACGTTTCATTATTTCGTAAGTTACCACCATTTCTAAAAACAACTATTTTGGTTTTAGATATGTTGACTTCCAGATCCCATGTGTTACAATAATCCTGTAGGGAGTCCAGCATAGATTGGAGACCTTCTGGTGTTTCTGATAGCAGCACCATGTCATCTGCATACATTATCAAAAATAGGTTTATAAGTTGCAGTTCTACACTTGGACAATTGTCTTTTATGAAATTGATCTCAAAATCATTAACATATAAGGAAAATAAAACTGGTGACAGTACTTCGCCCTGTAAAAGTCCAATCTTGTTGCAAAAACTATCACTTAGGACTCCATTATACTTTACACATGATTTAACATTATTATATAGGTCAATCAAAATTTGAAGGAATTTACCTCTGATACCACAATTGATCATTTTACACCATAACTTGCTTCTATTAACAAAATCAAAAGCTTTTTTAAAGTCTACAAAACAGCAGTACAAACGCTTTTTCTTTTTTAGGGACTTATTTATAAGGGTTGTTAAAACAAAAATGGCGTCAGTGGTTGACATTCCAGGTCTGAAACCAAACTGTGCGTCAGTTAGAATACCATACTTTTTTTCCCAATTTAATATTCTGGTATTTAAAACGCCCGTAAAAACTTTTCCAAAACAACTAACTAACGAAATGCCACGATAATTATTGGTGTCATTTAAGTTGCCCTTTTTGTGAATTGGAACAATACAAGCTTTGCACCATGCTTCTGGGAAATGCCCAGACTTAAAAATCACATTGAACAATTTTTCCATACAAGGCAACAAAATATCTTTTCCTTTAATAAAAATTTCATTGATTATTAAGTCCTCACTGCAACTTTTGTTGTTTTTTAGATTGTTTATGACTTTTAATATTTCATCTTTATCAATATCTTTGTCTAATTCATCGTAGATGGCCTCGTCGATATTAGGTTCGCTGTCATCTTCATCACTATTATTACTCATTGTTAGATTTTTAAAATAAGTATAAAAATCTTCGTTTGATAAACTTGAATTTGCCCATTGGCTTGATTTGCTTTTAAATAGTTTGTGGAACTTCTTGGGGTTCGATTTTTATAACATTTCCAGCATGTCACCTTCGTGTCGTTTGTATTGACGTTTCAGCTTTAACTCCATTTTCTTGTAAGAACGTTTCGAAGTGATCAATATGTGCTGAGCCATATTTTCCTATCTTAGGGGCCATAAGCAACAGAATTAGTGTGACTTTGTAAAGTTTTAAGCAATTTGTTTTGCAGTGTTAGATTATGTTGAATCACTTACTTACATTATAAGGAGTGTAAGCAATGTGCTGAGTATTTTTTTTCGTATTTTAGGGGCCAAAAACTGCGTTATTGGACTTCGTTAACGTTTTTGAGCAATTTATTCTAGTGTCATGTAAAATCATCACACCTATATAGGCTGTTGACTATTATGAGGCATTATATGAAGTCAGGCGCGCAGCTGCCTCAACGCTGGTACGCAGATTACTACAACAAATCGAGGAAAAATCCTCTGTTCCCACTATACCTTGGACCCCCTCCCAAGATGAATCTGGACTTAGCAAGTGAAAGTGTAAGCAATATACAAAAACAGCTGAACTTGACTTGCTTTAAGTTTTTGAGCAAGTTGTTTTTACAGTGTTAGATCACCAAATTCAATAGCCTATCGAATATTATAAGGTTTAGGAATGTGAAGCCGCTCAACATTTAAAATTTTAATGTCGAATGTTGTATGTCGAGCCGCTCAACATGAACTATCTGAATGTCGAATGTAATCCATTGTATGTCGAGCCACTCAACATTAAATATCTGAATGTCGA